AAGCTTGGGTCAACATTGAGGTGGTGGCATGCGATCTCAAGGGGTACCCCTGGCATGTCACTTGCCCCTAGGCAAATATATTAATGTACTAGTGTAGCAACAAGATTATCTTTGCACGCTCTTCTGTGGTTAATGAGGATCCTAACAAAAAGTACTTTTCAGTGCTGTTATCTATGTACTCTTTTGTTAGGTTTCCACGGTGCGTGAGGTCGGCTCGGCTTTGGGGTCCTCTTCGGCCAGCCGCTTCTTTAATTGTTATCTCTCCATTTTTTGAACTGGTGCACCCTCGTGGATTTCGGTTCTCCTTTCCCTTTGACCGAAGCAAGGAGGCAAATGCACGAACTAACCTAATCCCTGCATATGTCAACAACTCCATCTACCGTTGCGAACCTAAGCATCTGATGGTAGGTCGAGGGGACCGTCTTTATCTCGTGCAACCTGGTACACCCTATGATAGCGTTATAACTTGACTCTGCATCAATGACCAAAAACTCAATCATCGTCCCAATAGGCCCTAATCGGACTAGAAGGGTGATCTTTCCTTTTAGAATTACCATCTTGCCACTGAAGCCTACCAGATGAGTGTTAGACGCTATTAGGTCTTCTTCCTTCAGGCCTAACTTCCTGAAGAGGCTGAAATACATAATCTCCAAGGAGCTTCCCTAGTCAATTAGCACCCTTCTAACATCAAAATTGGTTATTTGGATGGCCAGCACAAGGGCATCGTTATGCGGGTGATGTACCCCTATCGAGTCCTACTAAAAAAAATGAATTTTTCCAGGCAACTCGTCTATCTTCAATCTCTTATTCACCAGCTCGCGGCTTCCCCCAATTGATAAACTTCTCGGGCCTGGGTAGCTAACTTAATATAGGCCCTAGCTGAGTTGTTCATCAACATATGCGGGGTTAATGTGTCTATCACATCGATGATTCCTGTGGGGGTAGGTCGATCATGGAGAAGGTCGGCAATACCGGTGCTATTTTTTCCCCCATTTTCGATGAACTACGAGAGGTGTCCTGCCTAGACCAATTCATCCGAATATTGCTTTAGAGAGTGACAATTCTCATTCATGTGCCCTATGTTCTGATGGTAGGAGCATTTGAAATTTGGTTTCTTCTTGGCTGGATCTCCTCCCAAATTTTTTGGCCATTTGAAATATGATTTTCCCTTGATTTGGGATAGAATCCTATAAATCGATTCTTTGAACACTGTACTAACTCCCATGTATGGGGATTTCGAGGGGAAACCTTCTTTCTCCTTGTTTTTTCCTCTTTCCCAAGTTGGGTGACCCGACTTATCTTTGTTGAACTGTTTATTGCCGATCTGCTCTTTTCCCCGTATCCTTACCAAGGTCATCATCCACCTTGGCATATTTCTCAACTCTTGTCATCAGCTCCTTCATGCCCGTCGCTGGTCTTCTTGTCAATGATTGGTACAACAGGTTCTCCTTTGGTAGTCTAATTTTAAAGGATGCAACCACGATTTTGGGATTGCACGCCTCCACCTCGTTCATTGTCTCCTAATACTTGTGTGCATACTTTCGCAATGTCTCCCCATTCTTCTTTCTTAGTATCAGTAGTGTCCCCACATCCTTAGGTTGTCCACTACTTGTTATAAACTGAGCTGTGAATTGTTCGGCCAGTTGACCCTAACTATCCACTAAGTTCATTGCGAGTCCATCAAACCATTTCATGGCTGATTCTCCGAGACTGTTGGAGAATATAGTGCAAAGTAGAGGCTCATTCTTCCTATGCACCATCATCAATTGTCTGTAATGACGAATGTAAGTGGTGGGATCCGTATTTTTGTAGTAGAGTTTGAAGCTTGGGACAACAAACTTGCTTGATATTCGTGCTCAATCTATCCATTTGGTGAATGGGGAAACCTCTATCTCACCAACGTATCCTACAGTTGCTCTTCGTGCAAGGTCCCTTGTTGACTTGTGCTCCAATCACTTTAACCGACTGTCAAGTTCATTTGTGATAAATCGCTTCCATTCTTCCTCCTGACTAACGTGTCCTTTTATGGTAGCCAGTTCTTTGTGAATCTTCTTCTCTCTTTTCCTATGGGTTTGACATTTTGTGTAGCCGCCTACGTGTGCGGCGATCTTCATGATCCGAATCCTCTCTTTCACTGGTTTCCCTCAGTTTTTGTTTTAGTTCCTCATTTTCTCATTTTAGGGTCTTTTCTCTTGCATATGTTTTCTTGAACATTTCGTCATATGCATCTAAGCGATCTCGCAATGACTGAACCAACCTTGTAAGGGCATGGTTGTCCCCCTCGGTACAGAGGGATCCTACCTGCGGGTCCTCATGCTGATTTTCACCATCTTCTAGGTTAAAACTGGTAGAAGAGATCCTATCCTCCTCCTGTTCACCCTGACTATTATAGAGATCCACCCGGATATCATGTCTGGATGGAAATGATACTTGATAATTCAGAACTGAGTCCCCTTCTTGTACATTAGGTTCCAATGGTAACCCAAGCGTACTTTTCAATCTTGACATGACTTTTTGTTTACTCTTCCCACAGGCGACACCAAATGTAAGCGGACAAATTTCCTCCTATCCTTTGTGAACAATGTTGTCCTTCCCTGAGTGAAGTTTCTTGCAAAACGAGCAAACTATCTAAGATCGAAGTGCTTCGATCGAAAGCACTCTGATGCTTAAGTCAGTACATGTCGATAAAAAAGAACCGTGTTATGGAAGGATTTTTCATACCTTGCACCGAAGGTCCTTGCTAACTTATATAAACTTTATTGATTCCCCTCTCGGGGGAAGAAGATGGCACCTCTTCCTCCCAGCGGAATTATCTGTTGGCTCTTCCTAAAATCTCTCTAACTCTCCCTTGATCTCAGCTTATGAGCTATTGAATCCACCGAGCTGGTACAATTGAATCCCTTACTCTTAGGCAGTTATTGTGTTGTTCGATTCTTATCTCCATGTGGCCAGATCCTCTTGCTCGGTCATATTACCGATCTAATATAGTTCGGTTCATTTTTAGCAAATCCAAAACCCCACGTGGCTTCTTCTTTTCCCACGTGATAGTATATCCACGTGGCATAAATTTATGCCCCTTCAGATAATTTATAATTATTGATTGTGATGGTGCTCGAAATTATTATGTGCAAGTGCAGAACAATGACTATGTGAGGCCTAGTGGGGGACTTTGTGGACGTTGGGTCAATAGAAAAATAAGCGCTAGTGCTAAATCAAAGAACAAAATATAAATGATTCACCTTAACCGAAAAACTAAGGCTACATTCATTGTAATGGAGGTTCTTGCTCCTTGGAATTTGTATTGCTTGAAGTAGAACACAATGGTTACAGTGGGTTTCTTGGCCTAGAGCCTTTTCACACTATGCACTCCAAGTAAAATTCTCCAACTCTCTTGTACAACAATTTCGTCTTCTATTTATGCATGTGGTCATCTAGGGATTTTTGTGATTCTCCTTCTCTTGACTGATTTTGTANATTTATGCATGTGGCCATCTAGGGATTTTTGTGATTCTCCTTCTCTTGACTGATTTTGTAGTCCCCTCTTCATTTGTCCTGTAACGGGGTTTGTTACTTTGACGCACATTGTGGGCACAATCCTCAAAACAGAATGCATACAAATATTCCCTTTATCAGGGAGTATTTGTTTGATAGGGTCGTCAGAAGTTGTCCCATGTCCCCTGAACACGTGACGCGATGGGAGTTGTTTGAGATTTATCTCATACCGAGCTCCTAATTCCCGAGCTGGCCCACTTTGTCGTACTTGATATGACCGAACAGGATTATTCCAAGCTAGGCGTCATTAGACTTCCAACCTTGGGTTGTGACCCACTATTATGATAGAATAAGCACGCTGCGAATGAGCCGCTTAGGTTGTCATGTAACTAGAGTGACCATTGGGAGTTTTCAGCTTCGTATGGACAGCCCAAGTTGAAATCCATCATTATCAGATTGAAAAAATAATAAAACATTGTAAAATAAGAAAAATTGTAAACAAAATAGTTTCATCCAATTCATTCGCCGTTCTGATCCAAAAAAAAATATTCATTTGCCATTAGATCATCCATCATAAATTCAAACAAAATATCATATGTAAGTATGGTTTCGTCCGAATATTTTGGCAATAGTCTAGTATTTAGAAGTTATGCCTTGAAACCTTGTTCATTCCACGAACAATCTCTAACCCTTGTCCACTTCCAATTTATAGCTATACCAACAATCTTATTTTTCGGTTTTTAAACAAACATTACTTAAAACACATAATTATTGTGAAATAAATAAAATATAAAGAGAAAAAAACATAAAAAAAAATATAAAAACAATTTTTTAAAGAGTATATTAATGTGTTAATCTTCAATATCACCTTTTTCTTTTTTCCTTTTCTTTCGTTCACATCTTTCGTTCAAAGTGCGGAGACCCTTTTATGGGTAGAAATACAATCTCTTGCAAGAGTGTCGAAAGGGGTCAGGGAACAAAAAAATTAAAGGTGGTGGGTATGTGGTCATCCAGCAAACATCACATGTTTATAACAGTAATAATATAATCGCATGGAATATTTAATTTTCTTTTTGAAATAGGAAGTGTATTCTAAATTAACTCACTTTACCGTTGTTTTGAAATTTTTTTACCCAAATATCGTAATTTTAAACTTATTTACCAAACTATTATTATTATTATTATTATTTTGAAAACATGCTTTTCAACAAAAAACCTTTTAAAAGTGTATTTTCAAAACATGTTTTTGCATTGAAATTTGAAAGGCTAATTTTGAAAACTCAGCTTAATCTCTCTTGACTTAAGCACATAAAAGTCCATCGTGCTATGAGATATCTTCCAGTTATAGATACAAAATCGCAAATGCTTCTGATCTTCAGCAATTAGGACAATTGTCCCAGAAGATAGCTCGATAACCCTATCTTTTTTATAAAAACAGTGATAATTTATTAAATAAGTTTCAAACTAATAAAACAGTTGCAAAACATCAATAGAGTGATAATTACAGAGGATAACCATTTTATCAGTCAATTGTCCACAAACACATTACATTTCAACTTACATTTTACTGCCATTTCGATCCTCTCAGTTTCAAAATTTGTCAATTTCCATCAAGTTCAATCATCCACGTCTAATATAATGATCCCCCAGGGGGTTCTCTATGAATACCATTGATATTTACCCATCCCCAACCAAGAATCAAAATTTCGTTTTAGTGCATAGTTTCGATGAGGTTGAAAACAAAAAAGTTTTGATTATGTTTCGGAAACATTTCTAAAACAAAATAAAAACAAAGAAGAATTTAAAATTTTATTTCCGAAACATTCATCAAACCATGCCGAAACAAAAGTCAAAGCACCTCAACCTACCAAAGCATCTCGAACATAGAAATTTTGATATTCAATCAATGATTCATTTTGATTTTCATGAAAACAAAAACGTTTTGAACGTTTCAAAACAAAATTTACTTGTCCCCAACAAAATTTATTCCAGTAAATGACTGAACTTGACCAAAATTGAAAAAATCCCATTTTTCCTGCAAATTCCTATGAAATTTGAGGAAATTTTCACATATTTAAGCAATGAGGGGAGTCCAAAATATAAAAATGCTGGCATTAGAACTCCTGAGATAGCAGGTCTCAGATGATGTTCCAGGAAACTAAACACACACGAGCAAGGTAATTTAATGTCACTTCCTTGTTACAGCACATCAGACTGAGGCTTCCGAGCCAAGAAGAAATACAGTGGCGTGAAGATCTCTTTCCTGCAAAACCCAGGTGTTTAAGGTAAATATTAGTCAAAACAACTCTATAGATACCCCATCATTAAACAGGAAGAAAATAATTCAAGGAAGCTATAAAAGCACAGTTTTCCGTCTTCTGTCGATCAATATTGGTACTAGAGACCACAAAATCTATTGCATGCATATAGAGGTTATTCTTTACTAGCTTTTTTCTTATTTAAGAGGGAGGATGGAAAATTCAAACATGTGACTCGGCTTGAATAGAGTTTTGTCTACAAATAATTCCAGATTTATTTCTAGCAACGCATAATCGAAAGATGAACCATACAACACACTCCATTTCTCTCTGGTGACTTTTTGAATATATACACTTACAGCATTTCATTATTAGTTGAGCTCTCTTTCAGCTCGAATGCTCGCAAGCTTCTGTCTGAGAATTTAAGCAAGAATCTAAGGTTGGTAGACGAGCTCAGCCAGTCCCAAGCAAGCAGAATCTAAATATACTTAAAACTCGATAAGCTCGGTCAATTAACACCCCATCTAAAGACACCAAAATCATAACGGTATTTGCATGTGCATAGATGTTGGGATTAAGTAAATTGTATCCCGCAACATAACTGCTGTGGCATGAGAAGAAAAATCTGATCCCTCTGCTTTTTTTACTTGNCACCAAAATCATAACGGTATTTGCATGTGCATAGATGTTGGGATTAAGTAAATTGTATCCCGCAACATAACTGCTGTGGCATGAGAAGAAAAATCTGATCCCTCTGCTTTTCTTACTTGTGGGTTTTTTTTTTTTTTTTGAGCAAGCTCCTCTGTTCCTCTGCTATCCGATGGAACCATTTACTACGCATCCCTTTTCTCAGTCTACCAAAGAACCACATCAGAGAGTAGAAATTATTTGCTGCTATANTTTACTTGAGCTCCTCTGTTCCTCTGCTATCTGATGGAACCATTTACTACGCATACCTTTTCTCAGTCTACCAAAGAACCACATCAGAGAGTAGAAATTATTTGCTGCTATACTGGCTAAAGCTTACGCTGATTCTTGCTATCATATACTAAAATATTAATACATATTAAAAGAGCTCTCATCCAATCTAATTATTGAAGGCCTTTTTTTATGGTTAAGAGACTCAAAATAAACGACGAGAAAGTTGAGTGGAGAAAGTTCTTACTTTCCACCGGCAACAAGCCCTTCTGCTGCTTGCTCTAAGAATAACTGCACCCTCTGACTTCCCTTGGGCGCAAGGCCGACATATTCTAGGGCCATGACCTACAACGACAGAAATCAAAGAACTAATGTACTCTAACATCTAATCACAGAACAAATTAACATCGACAATAGACATATCCAACCAAAAAGGAGGTGTTTTCCTTGTCTCCTCCATTTTTGGTTGAGAAACATACAAGAAAACCCTCGCATATGCGTTCAGAGCTTACCATATTTTTGGTAATAAAACGTCCCATTGCAGTTAGACGGAAACTACTGAGCGAAAAGTGACTTTTATCCAAAGGCAAATACCAAGGGACGGGTGAGCCCACCGCAAGATCTTTCTCCCGTATAACCTTCGCAGACAAAAATAACCTGTCATTTATTTCATACTGGCGGTTCACTTGAAATTAAAAAGAAGAAACCACAAATTGTAACTCACTTCAAAACCTGCCATCTTCAGAGCTTCGAGGCACTGCCTTGTCAACCTGATGTCAGGGAGACCATCACCAATCTCAATTTCTCCCTGTTTCCATGAAATTGTGTGATAAAAGAAGGATCCACGAATACAAACATAATTAATAAAAAAGAAAAACTAAGTTGTCAGTACTACCTTAATCTTTTGGTGTTCTTGGTTATTGGGGTCAAAGGAATCAGTCATACACCACTCATATGCAGCAAAACATTGACCAGGCTTCAATACCCGAAATATCTCTTTGTAGCATCCAACCTTTAAAACAAAAATGTAAGTTACGCCAGACTAATTTAAATGAAACTGCAGAAAAATCAACAGACAAAGTCATAATATCATTCCAAAATAGAAACATATCAAAAGCTTTCAAGTCAAGATTGAGCATCTAAAATCTACATACTGCATCAGGAGCATGGCAGGTAGCTTCAATTGCATAAACCGCATCAAAGGTATTGTCAGGAAATGGCATTTTCATGAAATCAGCCTTCATATAATCCCCAAATTATAGTCAAAACACCAGATAGAAAAGCGGTTCAGAACAGAACATAAATTTAAGATAGAAAACTAATTACCTTCACGAAGTTGCAGGTCTGGTCCACTCCAACAACGCTGTTAAGTGCCTGTAGAGTTAAAGGAGCAATTAAACTGTAATGCCCATAGAACATAGGACATTTACATTTACCACATACAAGAGAATACAGATTTTACGAATTGATTTGATTTCTAGTTCAAGTAAGCTACAAGGTTGAAGTAGTTCGCCTTGTGCAAGAAGAATCTGAAGTGAATACTGCACAATCTCTGGGATAGAATCCTCATCCAAAACATGAAAACATTTTGATTATATGCAGCAAGAGCTGTTGCAGACATTTCATTTGTTTATCACATAAGACATAAGCATGTACCTTTCCCCTAGCTATTTGATACTCATTGTTGTTTAGACCTGTCACTGATGTAGAGCTGCAAGTTACCAATATACAAATTAGTCTCAGCCAGCTCTTGAAAATAAAAGAATAAATGAACCAAGAGAACTTCTTGAAACCTTTCAACATAGACTGGAAATCAAAAGAAAAGTTAAAGGCACTCATGCAGGCACCGCCATCCCGCCAGAGATAATGTTTACGAATTATTGCAGTATCAGAGCAATTAAAAGATCACTTAAATATCCTTGTTTATTATGGTCACGAAGCAAAAACAATCCATAAGTTCCACTGCTGGTACTCCTGCCCATGCAGCACTTGTTATTCATCTATAACTACTATTACAAAGAGAAACAGATGCTTACAACCGAAGAAACACAGAAACGAAGAGACAACAACATATCCAGGCAGAATATAGAGTGAAATTATGAATCACCATTTACCTGAATCTAGCAATTTCCCTTAATGGTCCACCAATTCCACATCCTACATCCAACACCTACAATGACAACGTTAAGTGTTACAGGACAATATGGAACAACAAACTCACAAACAATGAATGACTGAGTCTTTTCAACGACGATGTTTAAATTACAGTCAATTGAAGGATTAAGACCTTCTGCTTCGGTTTTAGGCCTAGTTGTAGAGCAAGGAAGTGCTCATGTCGCTTAATGCTCTCCCGAAGAGACTCTCCTTTCCATCTGCAGGCACAAATATAATGCTCATGATTAGTAATTTATTAGAAAAAGTTACTGCATATGACATAGTTGGCAAAAATAACTTTGAAGAGGACAATAGTAACCTGGNATGAAAACATTTTGATTATATGCAGCAAGAGCTGTTGCAGACATTTCATTTGTTTATCACATAAGACATAAGCATGTACCTTTCCCCTAGCTATTTGATACTCATTGTTGTTTAGACCTGTCACTGATGTAGAGCTGCAAGTTACCAATATACAAATTAGTCTCAGCCAGCTCTTGAAAATAAAAGAATAAATGAACCAAGAGAACTTCTTGAAACCTTTCAACATAGACTGGAAATCAAAAGAAAAGTTAAAGGCACTCATGCAGGCACTGCCATCCCGCCAGAGATAATGTTTACGAATTATTGCAGTATCAGAGCAATGAAAAGATCACTTAAATATCCTTGTTTATTATGGTCACAAAGCAAAAACAATCCATAAGTTCCACTGCTGGTACTCCTGCCCATGCAGCACTTGTTATTCATCTATAACTACTATTACAAAGAGAAACAGATGCTTACAACCGAAGAAACACAGAAACGAAGAGCCAACAACATATCCAGGCAGAATATAGAGTGAAATTATGAATCACCATTTACCTGAATCTAGCAATTTCCCTTAATGGTCCACCAATTCCACATCCTACATCCAACACCTACAATGACAACGTTAAGTGTTACAGGACAATATGGAACAACAAACTCACAAACAATGAATGACTGAGTCTTTTCAACGACGATGTTTAAATTACAGTCAATTGAAGGATTAAGACCTTCTGCTTCGGTTTTAGGCCTAGTTGTAGAGCAAGGAAGTGCTCATGTCGCTTAATGCTCTCCCGAAGAGACTCTCCTTTCCATCTGCAGGCACAAATATAATGCTCATGATTAGTAATTTATTGGAAAAAGTTACTGCATATGATATAGTTGGCAAAAATAACTTTGAAGAAGACAATAGTAACCTAGGCGCAAAATGGAATGATTCTCCCCAGCCATATTCATAGAAGCTGGTAACAAGATCATAGTATTTATTCACCTGGAAACCACATGTACCAATTACTAGAGATTATATGATCTTAAAGAGAAATTCAAGAAATTTTACAACCAGATAGAAAAGCATTAAAAAACTTGCAAATATATAGACAGAGCACCGGATGATATGGGGGCTATAGTAGTCATGCTTCAGCAATAACATCGTTAATGAACATGACCACCTCAAAAATGTGAAGTTGAAAATCTTCTCAGTCTAAAAGTTCAATTAAAACCCAACATTCATGGAACTGCTGCCTTTTTACCCAAAGGCAAAGCATAATATATCGACTCATTATAAGTCCAGCGTAATCTAAAATATGTGCTAAAAATGAAATAACTAATTTAAATGACACGGTGATCTTACGCTTCTTTGTCCTGAAATCACAACATAGTTTGCGTAAGAAGCTGTTTCTCCAGGAAAAGAAAGAGAGCAGGGGCAATGCCACTTGCAGCTATTTTCTTAAACTTGACTGTATTTAGCTTCTATTATAGAAATAGGCCCAACAAATAAAGAAATACTACTATCCTAGAGTTCTTATATATCTGTCATGGATCTGTAGAATAGAGAAAACGACCAAAGATAGCAATGGCAAATATGCTGACTGAATGTTATATACTGACGCACATGTGAATGTTAGAGAAAAATAAAGCTGAATGACATAACGTCGTAAACTTAGTGAACACAAAAAACCATGTGCATTCTATCTATCTTTAAATTTGTGAGAGTAATTTCAAGTTGAAAATTAAACTTAGTTTGAGTAAATATACAGCGGCAGGTATAAGCAATAAGTCAGTTCTGTAAAAAATGTTAAAGAAGTCCTCTTACCATGTCCGTGTAGTTGGCTTTTCTCTCTTCCTCGTCACCTCCATAACAGACATGATACTTCTCATACCTAAATTGTTAGACCAAGGGTTTATGACTAATGGAAGTGTATCAAAAAAGAGCTCAAGAAGGAGAAATCAGATCAAGACCCGACAAAAATCCCAGAAGATTTTCAATGCACATAGATCCTGACGAATGGTTAACCAATTTTGAATATTGATATATTGTAATGTCTAAAAAACTCAATTACTTCGTTGTTGGACAGACTCATCATCGATATCAAAATCTGATATGTTTTTGAGAGAGAATGAAAGAAAAAAAGGTTGAGATATGATTCTAGAGAGAAAGAGAGGGATATTTGAATCTCCTCCTAGAGAAAAAGAGAGAGATTAGAAATCACTTTCCTTTAAACGAAAGTCGCTTACAAAGAGAGATATAGAGAATAAAACAAAATTTCAGAGAGAGAATGTACTTATCCACGGCGGAGAGAACATCGTCTTTCTCAATCTTTCCACCAAGACCAGATGCGAGATCCAAAGCTCCAGCTTTCGACATCTCCAGCAATTCCCAATCCTCCAAAAAAAACACCACTTCGAGATCTGAAAACGTCACAAAAACCAAAACACAGAAAATAATAATTCAAACCTAGAAGCCAAAGAGCTCAATCCAACGACAAAAATCAAGGCAGATCAAACCACATCGACGCAATGTAGTTTGTGGCATAGAGAGAACATACAGAGAAAGTAGGATCTGGAAAACCCTAAGAAGAAAGGAATGGAACACAGACCAGAGACAAAAGGAGGTAAATAACATCCTTTAAAATATATAATTTTGAATTTCGAAGTTGAAGACCTGAGGCTGGATGGCCACAGAGAGAGACAGTGAAGAGTCGAGTGTCTTTTTCTTCCACGACGACGACAAATCCACAGAGAGATTCCAACTTTCTTAGTGCTCGCCATGTAAGCAAGTGAAAGTGCGTCGACACGTGGGAACCGATCGCAAGTGTGTCGCGTGACGGCATGTTAAAAAGATAAGTACAAGTTTTTGAGCTTTTGATCGTAACTGTTTATCAATCAATTGTCTCTAGCGGAATATTTTTGTGTCAAATGAAAGGAATTTGTGTCAAAAAAAAAAATTTTGGTCATATTTTATTTATTTATATAAACAAATTCAATTATTATACTCATATACAAATTATTTATTAGATAAATTATTCGATACAATTTGTGTATCACCCGTTAAATAAGAGAATAAGTTATAATATTTTGAGTACACACAAAAAATCATCAACTTGTTACACATTGTACATATTTAACTTATTTACTAATAACAATAAATCATGACCGAGCAAAAAAATAAAAATTAAATAACTATTAAATTTAAATGAGTTTAAGAGATTGGAGATGTGAGATGAGGCGAAGATTAAGAGACCTAATTTGTTTTTTTTAAAATTATAATATCACTGTTAACGGGTTAAACGAGTTTATAGGTTAAACATAAAATCGATTCATTTATTTTATGGGTCTACCAAGTTAACTCATTAACTACCTAAACCAGTTAAGACTACACATAAACCCATTAAATCCGTGCCGAATTTGTGTCGGTTTCACGAGTCGTATCTAGAATTGTCAAGCCTAACCATAACCATTTAGTTCACAAATTTTATTCTTAAATTCAATCTGTTTTAAACTAATTTTTCAAATTCAATTTTTTTTAAAAAATAATATACCAAATGATGCATTTATGACGCTTTTAAACTGTATAAAAATATAAAGTAAAAGAGCTTTTTAAAATCGTCATTTTATAATGATGAAGAAATAAATGATTTCCTAACGAAGTTAGAGCATAAACTTTTATTGTAAGCATAAAACGTCATTTAAAATTACGAAAATGACGATTTATGCGAATTAAAATCAAGTTTACCCTTTCCCAAATAAGAAAATCCCTAACTCTCTCCCAAATTAGAAATCAAACTTCTCTGTCCCTCTCTAGTCCTCCGACGAAGGCCACTTCTCCGACAAAGACCAGTCCGACGCAGGCATCTAACTCTGACAAAGACAGACTCCGGCAAAGACTTCTTTCCTCGACAAATAGCATCCCAACGAAGGATTTCGCAAAAACGAAGACCATCACAGTGTTCCCCTCCTCCGACGAGTTCTGACATCTATCTCTGTCGACGAGTTCTGACCACAACTTCGGCGAGTTCTATCCACAACTCCCTCTCCTTCGACGAGTTTTGTCTCAGTGTCCCTATCCTTTGACTAAGGTATTTTTGTTCTCTCTCTCTATCTGTGTCTCTCTCTCTCCATCTTCTAATTGCAATTTTCCTCCACACTCCAACAGAACTTGCATTAAACTTTTTTTTAAAAATTTTTTTGCCTAGAGCTGAGTTTTGAAAGAAATAGTGGGTGAAATAAAAGCTCTGAAAAATACCATTTCTTTGTGCCTGAGTCATAAGACATGAGATTGCCAAACTATGGGAACCTAATGGTGATAGGTTACATATAAGTTGTAACTTGTAAAAATTTTCTCTCATATTTTAGTCTGTAATTTAGGAATATTTTCCCTCAAATTGCCTGGACTTATGAACCACAACACCAGTCTCCAGCTGCAGTTTCCCATTTTGCATTATCAAATTTCTAAGATACATTTACCTTGGAATTTCTAAGATTGCTATTTCTACTTAAAGCCGATTGTCAACTAGAAAGGTCCAGTAAGGCCTAGGTACCCTAAAATACTTCTCTTTTAAAAGTCTATTATACACTCTCGGAATTTCTAAGATCTACAGAAAACCAAATTGGTTGTCCTAAATAATAACAGTTATTTCTAGTTGACACTTGTTGTCAAATAATAAGGTTTATAATTGGATCAAATTAATAACTATATGTCCACACAAAAAAAATTAACCAATAATGAGAAATGATGATGCCCTGTTTTTGAATTTTCCCCTATGACCAGTAACAAGGTCAAAATCAAAGGTTTTTAAATTGTGTTCACATAAACAACCTAACTTATATTCACCAATAAGGCCCACAATCTGAAATGGCTGATTTGGACACAAGTATCCAAGTCACACTTATACATGGAACTAAAACCATTTGCAACAATTAGGAGTGGATAAATTAAAATTTGACCCAAACCCACCATCAACACCCCTAGTCATCACACACATTCCCTCCTACCCTTTCTAGACAGCCTCTCGTACCAAGCCCATTGTTAGATGAAGAGGACGAGACATAGGATGCTACAGTTGTAGGTGTAGGCAGTGTGCAAGCCGGACTGCGGATTAGAGGTGGACGAAAGTGTTGGACATGGAGGTGAGGTCGTGCACAGCATGTACATCATCATGATGACATCGGTGTGCCACAGATGACACATGCTGCACCACAGGATGCTGAGCAAGAGTTTCGCAGATAGCCGAAGCAACGTAGACGACCACCTGCGTGTGGGACGTGATTTTGGTGTTTTTGTTGGTTTTTTTTTTCCTGAAATGTACAAAATTTTTCTTTTGTAAATACATTGTCACATACACAATTATGTTTTTTTATTGCATTCTTCAATCAAGTTGGCACATACATAATCAATATTGTACACAACACATTTAACTCACTTCAACATTACATGTACATTTCACTTCACATGTAAAACTCAATACAACAATAACATAATCTGGAGACAACAAAACTAACATACAACTTCTTCACACAACAGTAACATAACATTTCTATACACAAACACTAACATAACACTTGTTTCCACAACACTAGTATAACACTTGTCCACACAACACAACACTAACTTAACACTTGTCCGCACAATATTGACATGACAGTTCACCACGCAACACTAACATCACAGTTCTCTACACAACATTAACATAACATGTGTCCACACAACACAGACATAACACTTATCCACACAATATTTTTCATGGGTCAACATCTTTATCGGACATCTCGACATCAGAAATACATCTAACTTCTCTACTTAAGAGGAAACTTATACGTGCTTTTTTCATTAACCCTTCTTCAACACGTTCTGGTGCGATGTGACGAAGGTTGTAACAATTTAGACGGATTGTCATGCGATTGTTCTCAGCTCAAAAATGATACAATGTTCTCTCTAGTTGTTAAGGTGTCTCAACTGGCATACAAATGACATTTGTCAAGGCCTTCAAAAATTGTAAATTTGCATATCTCCAATAAGATTTTCTCGCTCTATCAAATGATATTGCAATTTGGCTCTCATGGTTCTTATGACCCTATTTGAATAACGTAAATGAGAATTGATTTGATAGAATAGCTCATCCTCTTAGGCCCAATGATAACCCATATTTTCATATAAAGTTCTCACGCTATAATTCATGTTAGAAATGAGTTTTCTTCACTTAGTTGCTTACAAACGATGAATATATAGTACTTAAAAAATCAAGATTTCGATGGACATATCAATTCACTGAAAAAGGACTGTCATGACTTTGACAATACACTGATTGTTTTCCTACTATCCATAAATTGACAACCCACTTAATCAATGAATTTGTTGATGAAATGACAAAAATCTACAAATGCTAATCAACCATGTGTTGTATTAAATACACACATCTCCCAACAACTAAGCATATCAATGCAAACACTGTGTGGAAGTGACAAGTAACTGCTCTTTCATAATACTAAAGAAGAAAAATTGACTACTCGTGACTACTTAATGTCATGTGTTGAGGTGATTAAACCCTGAATGGGTTTCAACAGACCATGTTTAGAAGTGACTAAATTTTGAATGAGTTTCAACATACCACATGCTAAACTGACTTAACCCTGAATAGGTTTTTGCATACCATGTGTTGAAATGATAACACACATTTGATAAAGGCAAAGACTAAAATGATCTTACACCAATCTAATGCATGATTAACCCTAAATGACCTCTGATGACTACATTGTCTTACTATTGACTGATGTGACCTATCTATCACACTAGGGTTTGGACATTACTATTTAAACATCTTATTTGTGGTTGATATGATAAACACAAAATTATGTCTACATCAAATTTCTCTATGAGATTTAACAGTCGCAGACGTGAACGGGTTTGGTTGTTACAAGAGCAAAACGATGATTACAAGAATAAGAGATTTTTCGATTCAAAAGAGTATTATACAGGAATACGACGAGAGTGAGCTTTTCGTGCTAAAGAATCAGATGAATTATTCACATAACTAAGAGAACTTGACACACCAGTGTCTCATAAACAATTGCTAACAATGCAACGTTGAAATAGAGAGGACTACGAATCAGCAGTAAAACAAGTTCGAATAGAGAATAATAGAATGCTAGTTCGTAGATCTCGCTATTATATGTTCCAACAAGCAAAAGACATGATGAGAACCGCAAATAGACGAGAGTTGACACCAGTTGAGCAAAATAATATATTATCTAATACACAATACCTGTCAAATGATTATATGTATGATGAAACTTAACAAAGTCTACAATTGTTCATTTGTGAGACAGGAAGCCTGTGTAACCAGTGTAGTGTCAAGTCATGTCAGTCTTTTATATTTGAATTGTTATGTCATTACTTTATCATTATAAAGTCATTTCATTGTTTTATCAGTGTAGTTAGTCTAGTGTCAATTCATGTCAGTTCTTTTGTCATTCACGAGTTATGTTATTACTTTATCAATGTGAAGTTATATCATTATTTTATCTGTATCAAGTCATGTTAGTTTTACCCAGTAATTGTTCGATCAAATTTATATATAATTGTATTTCATGTCTATATAAATCATCCTTATTAATTGTGTACATCATAACCCAAAAACTATCTAGATGCACATCTGATAGGCAATTCAGTCAAACCACCCAAGGTTCTTCATCATGCAATGAACAACAAAGTTCAACTTCAACCAACGAACATAAACGCTCTATTGGCCAAGCAGCATCGTCGAACGTAGTTCGTTCAATTGAATCCAACATAGATTCTACA